TCTAACAAGGCCTTTAGCGCATTTCTCAATCTCCACATCTATGGAGGTCACCCATACCCAGAATGTCATAGAGCTGTTACTTACGTGGTTCTACTGCTGATACATCTCATTAGGCCTCTAAGCTAATGCAGTTGGAGCAGTTAAGCCATCGATCTTTGTACATGTTAGAACACTATCGCTATATAGCAACACAGACCTGACAAAAGTAAGACATAAGCTCGTTATGAGGATGGTACAGGTTAATAAAAGCAGTGGAGGCAAGGGCGATCTTCCTATTAGCTCTGGCGCTAGAGGGTGCTATCAGCAAATGTCAGAGTCGAGACACTTACAGATAGCTGTTCGAATGATTTACGGCTCAGCTCACCAAACACAGCAGATGGTAAACAGTCCATGTCAAATACTATATTCACTGCATATACGCTTCATCATCAGGGCAATCCACAAACGGAAGCCGTAACGCCCTGAAAGAATACAGAGTGGCTAACTTCCACTTTGGTAGTAAAATGTATTCGGACAGTTTAAACTTGTACATTCATGTAATTCATAAAGCATTCCAACATTTTCAGTTCGTTTCGTCTTAATTTCATTGAAATAATAAGAAAATATCAATCAGTCGGATAGAGAACAGTGGTCGAATTCTGAGGGGCAGTAATCAAGGGCTTTCACCTCCAGGTGGTATGTATAAAGATCAGCTCAAATACACTCACCGGAAAGCGCATCGGAACGCCGCACGTCAGGTTGTATGTATTGTTCTTGAATTTGAAAATGGTACTATTCATCACATGACCAAAGATTGTCGTTAAATCATCCACGATGGAATTTCTTGACACGTTTTCAGATATCCTCCACTCGGCCATCAAAATGTTCTTCAAGATATCGAGCAGAATATTATCCAACGTGTTAGCATTAAAATTTGTGAAAAAAGCAGTAATGTCTAACAAAACAATGAAGCAATCCTGATGATCATGCTTTTTCCGATTCGATTATGACATTTCCCTATTATTCCAACGAAATGAGGACGAACTGTAAAGGTTGGAATGCTTCGTGAATTATAAGAATGGACAAGATAAAAACTGTCGAATACGCTTTACTACTGAAGCTGAGGTTAACACCTTATCTCCTTTCTGGAGGTGCTGGTGAAGAAAATGCCATCATTTCAATTTTGGGTTTCCGTACATCGGAAACCAACACAGTCCAACTGACCCTGCATCAGACGTCGTGTGTTTCTCCTGCATTACTTAAGAATGTGAAGAGCGCGCTTTTACGATCCCTAGAAACTTATGGTAACACTTCTGGCCTAAACGCAGAAATCCAACAACTTCACCAAGCGCTTCTAAAGAATGATTACTGAAGGAGTATCATTAACGAAGAATTTCTGCACCCCAACTCAAATTTAAGGTGGTCAGTTCATACAGAAGAACGGTAATTTTGACATTCATACAACAGGTATCTCAACGTATCATGAGGTACCTTCGTGACATGGGGCTTAGGATCTACTACAGGACCGGCAGAACAACGGGCGACATTTTATTTAAAAAATACATGCGCATTAATAACCCTGAAGAAGTGCTAAATGTTGACTACGAAATACAGTGCAGAGACTGCGACAAGATGTACACTGGAAAGACCAACCGGAAATTGGAAGATAGTATGAAAGAGCACCTTGCTGAGCTCACCCTTGGGCAGGCTGACAATTCTGGTGTTGCCAAACATGCAATTTCTGAAGGGCATTATTTCAGCCAAACCAATGTCTACTATAGACAGAGACCAATCCAAATTAGGTTTGGTGATAAAGGAGTCCTTGAATTTACTGGCAATGAAAAACCGGATAAGCAGCGAATTCATATCTTCTGTTATCTGTGAAAGCTGAGCGCAATCACAAAGGTGATACGCAAAATGGGGTCAACATGATAAAGATGCTATTTATTTTGAAGTGAACATTATACCTTGTTCGGACTGTATAAAACGTTTTGACCGTATATGATGAGCCAAATGGAAGACTGGTACTGTTTGCTTGTTGTACATAATAACCTTCAAGAGTCATTTGTACTCAGTCCAGCCCTGATGATGCTACCATCTATGCAATATACCGTTTATTATCTGCTGTGTTTAGCGCACTGAACTATGAATTATTCAAACAACTATCTATATAAATAAGGGCCAAGAATCAGAAACCTGAAGTGTTATTTATTCAAGATACTTATACTGGTCAATCCTGTGAATTGCTTAGTCTCCCTGGCAGTCAGCCAGTCTCAATTACCACTTCTCCTTTCGGGTTGTGATTTCTTACGTTAATGTTCTCTAAATCCTTTATATGTTCTTTTCTTTGTCGTTATATGAAGTTGTCTAAATCATTCCTTCATTTCCTGTGCTGGATCATTCGCTGAACCACTAACATCGCATATCTACGTGAATTTCAGCGATCGATTCCGCAATATTTGTGAAAAGTTGAACATTACCTTCCACAAAGGTAAATCGTCCAAACCAGTGGGATTATCTCAGGTCGGAAATGTAAGGTTTTTAGTCTATACTGTCTAAGCCCAAACCAATATCACGAAAACTAAAACATGCGGGAAACAGAACTAAAGTATAGGCTCAAAATAATCTAGTAAAACCGTGATATCACTGGTTTGCACAGAAATAAAAATCAGTTTCAGTCAACAGCAGTATGGACGGATTAACACTCTGGGCGGTAATATATGCATTCTGCTTTTAATATTACTCATGCGTTGTGCCGCATTCTGTTCTAGTTTGTATCAGTCAGTCAATCAGTTTCCATGACCGCTTATTGTTTTGGGTCGTACAGGCAAACAAGTCAGAGAGTGTCTCCAACGTTCTCAATTTTGTGTCAGCATTTGAGCTTCGGCGGAAGAAAAGCCGTCTAAAGCAGAGTCATTCGAGATACTTGCTTAAGGCTATTTTTGGCCGTCCCCTCCGACGTCGGCCGGTCCGCTGAGCGAGTAGCATCTGTTTCGCCTTTTTTCTGAAACTTATTCCGTCCCAGGTGCCTCCCGTCCATCTGGAGAAACACCAGTTGCACGAGAAGGCTCTCTCTGATGTCTAAACTCTGAGCCACATAGAGACATGTGTGGTCATTCACCTCAGAAAGCTCATTTCAGTCACTTGTACCCGAAAGTGAACAGGTTCTAATACCTGAAATTATTTAACAGGTTAGGTTATTATGGAGCCTATCCCTGAGGTTTAATACAAGCTCGTTGTTTATTTTTATG